CCGCCTCCTGCCCCATGGCGGCCTCGGGGCCCGCGGCGGCCCGGGGCTCCCCCGCCACCGCCGGTATCATCGTCATCGGCGACGAGATCCTCAAGGTGCGGCCGGGGGCGGGGCGGGCGGGCCGGGGCCTGCCGCGGGGGCCGGGGCCTGGCGGGCTTGTGGCCCTGACGGGTGTCTCCGTGTCCCCAGGGCCACACGCAGGACACCAACTCCTTCTTCATGTGCCGGCGGCTGCGGGCCCTGGGCGTGAGGGTGGCCCGGATCTCGGTGGTGCCTGACGAGGTGGAGGCCATCGCCAGCGAGGTGGCCGCCTTCGCTGCCCGCTTCACCTACGTGCTGACCTCGGGGGGCATCGGCCCCACGCACGACGATGTCACCTTCGAGGCGGTGGCCAGGGCCTTCGGGGAGAAGGTGGCCCCCCACCCCGAGCTGGTGGCCCTGGTGCACAAGTTCTTCGGCAAGACGGAGGCGCAGTGCCCCGAGATGAAGCTGGCTCGGGTCCCCGAGTCCTCCTGCCTTAACTACGGCACCGACGGGCGCACGGGGGGCGCCTTCAAGTACCCGCTGGTCAGCGTGCGCAACGTCTACATCTTCCCCGGCATCCCGGCGCTGATGGAGCGCGCCCTGGACGGCCTCACCCACCTCTTCCGCAGTGAGCAGACCCGCTTCCACTCCCGCACCATCTATGTGGCGGCTGACGAGATCCTCATCGCGCCTGCACTCGACCAGGCCCATGCTACCTTCCAGGGCCGTGTCGGTTTGGGGTCCTACCCAGACTGGGCCAGCAACTACTACCGTGTGAAGCTGACGCTGGACTCGGAGTCAGAGCAGGACCTAGAGGAAGCGTATCGCTTCTTGATGGAGAAGCTGCCGCCGGGTGTTGTCGTGCCTTTGGTGACAGACTGCGTCTCGCCCGCGGCCACAGAGGTTTATGGCCTGGCTGAGTCAGGTACAGGGAAGCGCTGCTGCGGCCCAGCTCAGTGTTTCCACGCTGCTCCTGCCCAGACCCTGCAGCTTAGCAGGGCTGGGGCAGTGGGAAGACCAGCCTGGGAGCAGAGCTTGCCTGTTCTGGTGTGCTGGGGGGGCTTGAGGGGTGCTGAGGCTTTGCTGGTGCTGCAGCTGCAGTGGGCTTTAGTCCAACACAGGTGGGAGCGGGACCCGTAATCCCAGTTGGGGCTGGCCGGTGCCAGTCTTAGGGAGCACAGCACGTGTTAGGGGGAGCGGTGCTGCGGTTCTCCCATGAAGGTAGGATCCCTGTCTCATCCGTGGCACAGAACTCTGGGTTGTGCAAGCTCTTGCTTGGCTCCAGGCCACCGTGCGTCTGGAGACAAATCGTGCCTGGAAGGCGAGGTGCCACAGGCCCTGGGGCAGCGTCGAGGCAGTGTGGCCCCGGGCAGGCACCGACCATCCCCTCCCGGCAGGCTCAGCCCTGGGGCAGAAGGTGGCAGCAGCACTGCGGACCATCGAGGAGGCTTTGGACCGGTACAGCCTGGCCCAGCTCTGCGTGGGCTTCAACGGGGGCAAGGACTGCACGGCCCTGCTGCACCTCGTCCACGCCGCCGTGGAGAGGTACCCAGCCATGGGGTTCCACTAGCCCAGCCCTGGGGCAGGGGCGAGGGGTCCTGCAGGCCCTGGCCGAGGCTCCGGGGCTCTTCCCTGCCCCGCTCAAGGGGAAGGAGTGGATTCCTGGGCCCCAGGTCGTGGGGAGTCGGGGGCTGCTCTGCCTCCGGTCACTGTCTGCTGGAGCCCAGCTGCGCCGGGTCTCTCCCCAGGCGGTACCCGGCGAGGCAGGAGAAGCTGCAGGTGCTCTACATCCGCATCGTGTCCCCCTTCCCCGAAATGGAGCAGTTCATCCAGGCAACTGTTCGGAGGTATGGGGCGGAGAGGGGTGGGCTGCTGGACAGGGGAGGGAGCAGCGTCTCCCGCAGCCCGGCAGGCAGCTGCCCGTCCTGTCTGCACAGGTACAAGATCCAGCTCTGCACGGTGGAAGGCTCCATCCGGGAGGCCCTGGCCCACCTGAAGGAGCAGCAGCCGCAGCTGGAGGCTGTCCTGATGGGGACGCGGCGGACGGACCCCTACTCCCGCACCCTGACCCCCATGTGCATGACGGACCCCGACTGGCCCCCGTACATGCGGGTGAACCCCTTGCTGGTACGTGGCCTCCGCCTGGTCCAGGGATAAGGCTCATCCTGGTGGGGGGAGCAAGCCTGGTGGCTTAACATGACGGGGCTGGAAGCCAGCACTACTCCATCCCCACCCCAGAGGGCTTGCCTTTCTAAATTTCCCTCTCCCCAGAGCATCTCCAGCCCTGGTGCATGGGCTGTGGGTGCCCCTTGCTGCGGCCAGGCTGCCTGGTGCTGTTGGGCAGGGCTCGTTCCTGCCCTCCTGGGGGGCTTTTGCTGGGTTTGGAGAGGGACAGGGTGCTTGGGGTCCCTGGGGACCTTCTGGCTCTGCCGTGTGCTCTGGAGCTGGGGGTGGCTGACTCCCCTGGGGGTGAGGGGACAGCCTGCCTGCTTCCATGACAATCCCTGCCCAATTCCACCTGCAGGACTGGACCTACCGGGACATCTGGGAGTTTCTGCGCAAGCTCTATGTCCCCTATTGTGTCCTCTATGACAAGGGGTGAGTGTCCGGGGCTGCCCTCCCTGCTCGGTGCAGTTGATGCCCTGGGTGCAGCCTTGCAGCCGCCTTCTCCCTCCGCAGCTACACCTCCCTGGGGAGCATGGCCAACACGCAGAAGAACCCGGCGCTGCGCTACACCAACGCCCGGGGCCGGGAGAGCTACCGGCCTGCCTACGAGCTGGAAAACGAGGAAGATGAGCGCACCTCCCGCCAGTGAAGGCCTACGGGGTGCACTTGGGGGGGCTCTGCTGGGACACTGTTCCCCCACGGACATCCCTGGTGCTGCTGGGGGTGACACTGAATAAACCTATTGCCCGACAGCACTGGATAAACCTGCTGTGCTCAGCCTGCGGTCCGCATCGCGCTCGCGCTTGGCCGTGCCAGTCCCTTCGGGCGCTGCAGGGCTCTGGCAGGGGCACGGCGGGGGGTGAGGCCAGCTCTGCCCAAACAAAAGTGTCCCCCGGGCAGTGTCCCCTCCCCGCACCCGCTATTGTGGGAGCCTTTGAAGCGCAGAGAATGGAGCAGGTTCCAGCGTTTGCCGGGGACCCGCGTGTCGCTGCGGCTGCCTCCCGGCGTCAGACCCTGCTGATCCCTCCTGGGCCATGCATCTCCACCGGACTGCGGCGTCCTGGCCGCTGGGCGCTCGGAGGCCGGCGGCACCGCCAGCACCCACCAAGGCCTCCCTGGGGCTGCGCCTGGGCTCCTGGCTGCTGCAGCGGCTGCGGGACTGCGTCTACCTCCTGCTCTGCAGCTGGTGCATCCGGGAGTTGCTGGACTAGGGAACGACCCCCCGGCTACTTCCCCGCAGGACCCCCGGCACCCCCTGCCTGCCCCCGTGCCATGGGTGAGTGCCCTGCCCTTGGCTGCCTGCTCAGCACGGTGCTTGGGGGCTGATGGGGGCCCCACTGTGGTGCTCTTTGGGGGCGATGGGGGCCTGGCCATTTTGCTGCTGGGGGTGACAAGGGCCTGGCTGCGGTGCTTGGGGGGTGACAGAGGGATGGGGGCCCTGTTGTGGTGCTTGGGTGGTGATGGGGGCCCAGCTGTAATGCTCTTGTGGGGTGATGGGGTTGATGGGGGCCGGGCTGTGGTGCTTGGGGGTGTTGGGGGCCTGGGAATGGTGCTCCTGAGAGGTGATGGGGGTGCAGCCGTGGGGCTGGTGAGGTGTCCTCATTCCCTCTGCCTCTCTCCCCACCCAGGACTGCTTGTCACCCTGTGCTGAGGGAGCTGACGGACCCCGCTCCAGCCTGTGCTCCCCCTGATCAGAGACCCCAATAAACCTGCGCAGCGACTGACCGGCTGGGTGTGTTTGGGGAGGGCTCTGGGAGCGTGCCCCCCACTCCATTCCCTGCCCAAAACATCCCACCCTTGCCCTGGGTAGGACCTGGGCACCCGCACGTCGCCTCTGCCTGAGGTCCCCAGGCCCTTTGGGACCGGGGGGGCCGTGGCTCTGCCTGCCCCTCCGCCAGCTTTATCCCTGCCCGTGACTCAGCCCCTTGTTTAAAAAATGTCTCCTCTTGTCCCCGCTCCAGGCCGTTTCCTGCCCCGGCCCCGTGCGCCTGCCCAGCGCCGGCGCTGCCAAGAGCCGTCGGGAAGCGGCCGGAGCAGAATGTCCCCAAAGGGCCCAGCCTGGCTGGAGCTGCGGCAAAGGTCACGGCTGGCGGGACGCGCCGGGCACCGGGGCCCTGCCATGGGGACGGCTGTGGGTCCCCCAGCGGGTTGAGCCCACCGTGCCCCAGTGCCCGGCCCCGGAGCGGGGGGTGCCTGCAGCCCCGGCCCCGGCGCAGGGGAAGCTCCGCGTGTCCCGGCCGCGGTGGCAGCGCCTGGCGCCAGCGCGGCCTCCCTTATCTCGGCGGGAAGTCGGGAGCAGGAAGCGCGGCCCAGCGCGGGATAAGGGTCCCGTTTACATTAGCTGCTTTGTTGTGGAGCCGGCTCCCACCCTCACCCAGAGCTGGCGGGGGAGGGGCCTGGCTGCAGGGAGGGCTGGGGGGCGGCGGGGACCCCTGCCCGGGGTGCCAAGAGGGGCTTGGGTGATCATTGCACCCTCTGCTTGGGTGCGGGCAGGGATGGGGGTTGCCCAGAGGCTGCACCCCACGACTCCCCCTCAGCCAGGTTGGCTCCTGCAGCCAGACCCTGCCCTGTGGTCACCCACCAGTGCCATCTGTGGGGCTAACCAGGCTCCCAGCTGCGCCCACCGAGCTGGAGCAGGCCTGGCATCGCTGAGAGCGTGGCACTGGGCATGGGGAGCATGGCACTGGGCATGGGGAGTGTGGCACTGGGCATGGGGAGCGTGGCACTGGGCGTCACTGCCCACCGGAGCCCACACGTCTGCTCCCTGCCCCGTTGCTGCCGCGTCCTGGCCCCGCAGCAGCTCGGCCCCGGGGCTGGCCGGGACGGGGCGAATCAATGAATTCCCCAAACGGGGAGGTCCGGGGGAGGGGAGAGTCCGTCCCGGCACAGGAAAAAGTCCTGGCGGCGGCGGCGCCACGGGCAGAGCGGTGCCGGCCGCCCCCAGAGCACAGCCCCGGCTCCTCGCACCCAGCTCCGCCGCCCGCCGTGAGTGAGACCACCCCCCCCCTTCCCCAGGGACCCCTCACCCAGCCCCACGCCGGGGGGTGACGAGGGTGGGGTGGGTGCTGCGGGCGGGGGGTGCGCAGCCCCTCGCTGCCCCGGCACGGGCAGTGTCCCCTGTAAAGGGGGTTGGTTTAGAGGTCACATCTGCAGGTGACCTTGGGGACACCCGTCTCCCTGGGTGTCCCCGCTGTGTCCTGACATGTCTGTGGGGACAGGCGGCGGGGGGGGGG